AAAATACGCGGCGATAATGACGTGGAAAAAAAAGCCGTCCCGATTCGAGGATTCAAAGTTTACAGAGCAAACTTATGGGCCCAATGTCAAGATTCGAGAGTTATGGGGAGGGACAAAATTGGTGACGACTACGACACCGGATGTCATCGCCTGGAAGAAAAGACGACATCGCCGCCGCGACGTGGTAGGATTGTCCAATGGCTCTATGTGTGCGGTGTACAGATACTGCGGTGTGCATATATTCATCCGAGCCTTTCTTTCCACTCCACACGCGCACATACGTGCGTGTATATACGTACATATGCACACATCATATCTTTTCCCTTATGATTTACAAAGAAAAAGCAGCTTTCGTACCACACACGATTGACCAACTGTCTTTGGTGGTAAGTGAAAAAAACACAAATACAATTGCGCGCTTTTCGCTTCGTTTGTCTTTTCTCTCTCCCGCTCCCTTGACGATAAGAAAAGTGCGCTTAATTATATACGAGCAGCGACAGTAGGTCTTAATGGTAAAATGAGCACGATAACACCACCGCTACATCAATACACAATTTCACGCGTGTACATACGCACGAGGTGTACGTACACACTAGTGCGAGTTTACAATACACGCGCTCTCGCCGAGGGAGATAAACATACAGCTTTGTGTATTTAGGCTAGCAATAAAAGTCGCTCGATTGGCCGAATCGTGATTGTCGTATGAATATTTATGGGCTGCTGGCTTTGTACAAATGTTTATCTACGGGCTTGCGAGAGACTTGGCGAGTTTGAATTTTGACGCAATCGAGAGAATACGTATATATGTATGTATCGAGAATATTGATAAACAACAATTAATCGACAGTGTGTGATTGTATTTTTTTTCTTCTTTTTTTTTTTTTCGGGGATCTATTTGTCATTTTTTATCCGATAAATCTCGTTTGTTTATTTCGATGCATCGATATCTTCGCTATGAATTACTCACTACAGCCTCGAGAAGGTCACAATGAGTAGAAATCTCGATTCAAGACAACATTGCAGCTAATCGGCTTTTTTTTCATTGATTTTCGCAAATACATGTGCGTGAGTACGATATTATAAAAAAAAAAAAAAATGTTTACCATACCGATCATAACAACGCGACCAACGATTTCACGAAAGGGTATACCCGGGTAACTCACGAACCAAAGGAGGGCAAAAATTGCCGAAGACGCGTTTCCCGCGCATAGGTAAAAAATTAATTCCGTCCATGCACGGGCCGGGCGAGGCGCCGTTCTCGTCAAGGCCGCCTGTACTGCCGGTGTAATGTTGGCACAGGAGGCGTCCAACCTGTCCATCTGCCGATTTCGCGCGAGTACATACACGCACACACACACGCGCGCGCGGGCGTACTTACGATATTACAAGCGAAATCGGCCGTTTCGTAATGAGGAACCGATGCGCACGTTGTGTGTACATGATACGCCCAAGACATTCGCTGCATGTAGCTTCAACAGAACGATGTTTAAATTGAGCAGCAGCAGTGGCGCGTGCACCTGTGCCTCTTCCCCCCCCCCCTTATTTATTTCCATTCCACGCACTTTTGGACTGTTACTGCTGCCGCTGGCAGATGCATCATGCTCACGATACTTTTTTTTTTATTTTTTTTTTTTTACAGATTTTATGGAGAGCCAAAGTACACGAAAAAACAGTAGCGTCGTGAGACGCCGATTAGAGAAAATTAAGTCACACACCTTCGTGTACACCGAAAGAGAGATAAAAAAGAAATCAGCCGATCAAACACCGTTCCCGCAGCTATATACCGTGTCGGGGAGAGCACGAGCGCCGAATAAGTATACCGATTAATCGTGTAGCGCCTGTAAGCTTGTGTAACATTATTATTCCGGTTGATACGCGCGCACGTTAGATAATATGAGTTGCAGTTGTCCACATTATTATGCGCTGTACCCATGAAATACGATCGAGCTGAGGCAGACGGAAAATCGGTAGCAGCGCGTTGTTGCGCTCTCGTTTTTTCTGTGAGGTGCATATATGTGACATCTGGCGTGGATGTACCCATCAAGTGGCTGAGCGCGTATATGTATACGTGGACGTGTGTTAGATGATGGAGGGGACGATTGGTAATACGTTAAACGTAAACATACGTGCGGGTACGGCGCGATCGATCTCTCTTTTTCGGGTTGATCAGCGTGCGTTTGATACAACTATGGGGTGTATTCAATCGTGGATGAAACTATCTCGATTAAACTCCAAAAATTTATTTCACGGTAAAATAAAAAATTTAAAAAAAATCGGCAAGAGATCGGTTGACCCGTTTACCCGGCGCTGACGTTGTTACGTTTCTTCATCGTCACGTGTCCTCTCGCGCTAATTCAAACGTATTTCCAATACCCTATGGTATACAGAACGCGTGCGCTGATGTAACCGATCGTGGAGTTTATGCGTACAGGTATGGTCGTTGCTTTATTGCTCGTTTCCTGCGCACCGATACGCGCCGAGAATTTAACGATCTTTCCGAGGCCAGCCCCGCGTGTTTCATTGGCTCGTCGATTTTAAGGATAAGCGTCCCATCATCCATCTCGCGAGTATACAAAGCAACCCGTGACTTTGGCTTCTACTTGGCACATCTGGCCGGCAATCTATTCCACGTAAAGTAGACCGAGCACGTAAATCTCCCAAAATGGCCAAAAAAATTAAAAATTTCTAAAAAATACAGACACACCGCCACTTAACTATATCAGGATTTTGTAAGATGAAATATTCCGCGGTGAATGGCTGCATGCGTAAGTATACGCATGTATAATATTATGTATGCTTACACTTACCCGGCGTGCGTACCGATCAATGTCGCGACACGGGACGATTTTAACTTTTTTTTTCGGCTTCCCTCTCCTTGCGACTACTATTACTGGATATTCCAAAGGTCTCGGCACCGGTAGCAGGTTCGTGGAAAGCTTACGGTGTGCACGACTGATGTGAGGGGGCGTGGATTTTCATAAAATTGTTTCAAGTGGTAGGAATTACGTTTGTAGTTAGCGGTCTATCTCTTTTGGTTTTGGAGAGTAAGAGAAGATGAATACATTTTTAACGGGACACAGTCATCATCGTGAGATCGTGCATAATGACTGTCGATTGGTATTCAAGATTTAATGAGAGGAATCACATGTAAGTATATACATTTCAATTAGGATTGATACTCTAAGGATTTTTGAACTGAAAAAAAAAGAGATTTCCTTATTTTTATAGGTACATTGCGACATCATAATGCAATGATCGTTTGGGAAAACTAATCGCCAAGAGTAAATATATCGTAAATATAAATTCAAATGATTTTGGTCTCTGTATTTCTAAAAAAAAAAAAAAAAAAAAAAAAAAATTCAAACAACGTAATTGGGTGAACGAACTGTGTTACGGATGGAGTAACATTTTATCTCGCTCCGAGATATGGTGTGGATAATCAATCAAATTATACGTGTATACATCAATAAGTGCGTACGCATAATAAAAAAACGATCGTTTTGTAATAGAGGCATTCGCAGCAGCACGTGGATAATCACAATAAAAAAAAAAGCTTTCAAAGCTCGTGAGTCAGCAATGTCATTCGGACGTCACTATCACCATCACGAGCAATGATGATTACGCTAAATTAATTAAAATTCTTGCTCCTTTGATTGATTTACCTACAAACGAACTACAATTGTTATATTCGTTCGCGTTACAACAAACATATTGTAAACAAATACGAGCAAATTCCATTTACCTCTACCGCCGAATTATCATTTAAACTCACACATTCGAGTACAAGAGCTTTTCGAGTATAGTAGCAACACCTCTTGTACCTCCGTTTCGTCCAATGTATAATAAATTATTTTCTACACGTATAAACGCGTGTATAAAGAAAAGAGAGGCTGAATCGGCTGGAAGTCCAAAAGACAAAAGGAAGAAGAGAGAGAAAGAATGAAAGAGGAAAAATACACCGAAGCAGCATGCAGCGCGCGTATACCTACCCCTATAGTCTACGTGCGTGCGTCAATACGCTGAAGATAAAGGAAAAGCCGGTGCGTGTGGAAACATTTTTCTTTCTTTTCCTTCTTACCGCGAGAAAAGTGGAAAACCAGAGTACATGTAAAATATCAAGTCTTGGTGTACGCGACAGAAAACCCGGTTCTGAGCAAAGATACTCGTTTTTGCGAGCGTTTTTGAAGGTTGCCACTCTCAAAAGAAATTATCCGGTTGTTCACCTTTTTTTTCTTCTTTTGGCTTTTTACGAGACGTGTGAGGGAGGTTATTTTTAAACAAACACGTGTTTTGATCGGTAAACACGGGCCTTGAATGTTCGCCGGGTTGCCGTTGAATTTTCATCAGCGGACGTTTTATCGAGAATACGTGTGCCTTTTTTCCTTTTGTGAACATATAGGTGGTAGTCCTGATAAGAGCAAAGAATTATTTTTTTTTTTTGCGTTTGAAAACTCGATGAAAACTTGTCCGAGCTGGAGGAAAATAAATTTACAAAATCGTCGTCGATTTTCACGACCTGCCCGCATACACGTATAGTTACTAAAATCTCAAGAGACGTAAAGAACAAGGTGAACGAGAATCTGTCACGATTAAAAATTAAAAAGAACCGATTGACACGTACAGCACATCCGTTAAATCTCAATATTTACTACCTTATCGTATAAGACAGACCGATCGAGTATTTATAGATCCACGTAACGTTATATTTTCATTTTCAAACTCGCCCCCTCCCCCCCGCGATACAGAAAGACCTAAAATCTTCTCTCCCACGCATGTTCACCTTCACTTTGTCAACAAGCACGTAACTTACTTTTCCGATATCAGTAAGACACTAGATTTCAATTCTCATATAAATATACCACGAAACAATGTAAATACAATATAAAAAAAAAAAAAAAAAAAAAAAAAAAAAAAAAAAATCAAGAGCTTCATCTTAGCTCTTCACCGACATAATATGAACACACATCTATACGTAAACGCGTGACCATACGATATCTCACCTTGTCTGCCGACGATCTCGGCCACGTGCTCGCTGCTGGGTACGGGCACGCACTCGGTCATGTTCTGGCTCTTCTTCGAGCGGGCCTCCTCGAACACGCTCGACTGGCCGGTCTGCATGCCATCCGCGTCCTGGCCGACGACAGTTCCGACACCCGACCCGTTGGACCCGACCCCGGGACTCGCGCCGTTGGAACACCCGCCCTGCTCTAATCCGAGCATCGACAGCTCGAGGGCCAGCTGAAGGGCGCGCTGTTCCTCGATGGTGCTGTTGCTCGTGGGGCCGCCGCCACCACCGCCTCCGTTCCCGGCCATAACCGAGGCTCGCTCCATCTCCGGGAATAAGCTCGTCGGCATCTCGACTATGCTGCTACTCTGCACGTACGTTTTAATGATGCCGGTCTCTCTCTCTCTCTCTCTCTCCTTCTTCACACACTCGTCACTTCTGCTCTGTGTATGTGAGATCGAGTAGTCTGGAATATATTTTGCTGTCTTATGTATTGTTCACAACTTCACTGTTTTGCGACAAGTATGATCAATCGTTAAAATAATTTGTAACACTGTAAACAGGCGCAACACTGACGACGACAATCGATTGCTGTACATGCGTACACACTAGAATACTTTTTTTTTTCTTTCGTCTTGCACACAGCGCGCACACGTGGTCTATCAACTGTATATTATGCTGTCCGGCTGATTATTTTACACTATGTTAGTACAATATTACGTTGTTATCCTCACTTATTCACTGTTTCCCTATTTATTTTTTCTTTTCTATTAAATTCGTCTTCGACGGACAGATAAAATCGAGCGTACGTGCCGACGAGTTTGGAACGACCGGCGTGTTCGTACGTATATACATAAATGCTCCGATGACTCGTCCTCTCGTCGTCGAAAGTATAAGTCTCTCGAATATACGGGACGTACGAGTAGGTATAATACCCAATGTTATGTTGACGAACGAACAGAGCACGCGAGTGTTTCTCTTAACCTCTCGAGAATTAAACGACGGGCGCGATAAGTGAACTTTGTTGTTGACGTTTTAACGTATATAATATGTACGGGCGACTTCTTCTGCTGTTGGTGCCGGAACAACTAACGCGTGGTGTGCCTCTGATGGGTATGTACTTGGTGTGCTATGGTTGTACACTCGTCGGTCCGGCGTGTTTTAACGTGCGTGAATGATTGTATGTAGGTATGTTTAACGGTGGGGGAAGAAGGCTTTTCAACGCCTTGGACTACCCTCTCGCTTGCCGAGTACCACTGCGACTGAACACTGCGGCGCGCGCCGACTTTGCTGCTACTCTCCTCTCGTGACGGCGGGCGGCAGCTGCTCTCTTCCCCTCTCGTTCTCCCTCTATCTCTCTCTCTTTCCCGTGTCGCTTACTTACATACTATATACCTATATGTACCATGTGCGGCGACGGCGGCGCGTGCGCTTCCGCTGTACTTGTATTATTGTGCTGCATTTCTCTCCGTCCCTCTTGAGGTTTTGTGTATATATGAGGGGTTGTAGCACTATACATACAAATATTACATTGGGGTGTTTTCACCCCACTCGCGCTTTATACGTATATATATTTTATGTGCAGGCTAAACACCCAGCCGGTGCGCGAGAGCTCCATGTGCCAACCGGACGCCGGCAATGCTGCCATCAGCCGATAGGTTATTCGCTCCGCTAAATGGTCACGTGGGCCATTTGTTGCATAATAATAATCCGGCTGCATGGACGTGTATTGAACATATTATACTTATGTACAAAAAGTACGGAAAGTGACTGCATCTGACGGGGTGTCTGTCACTATAGTGGGTGAGTGGAGGGTGGCGCTGCAACGTCGGGGGATCAAAGTTCAAAGTGCTTTTTGAATCTATTGGTCACTGCAGGTGGCGTTACGCAATTGATTTTTATCCATATAAAAGGCTTCGGCAATAAGTAGTCACTGTTTTCCATGTACTTACCGATTACTTTTATTTCAATAATTGATAAAACTTGTTCATAAATCATCATTTGTTAATTATAATAATCACAATGTGGCGTTACTCAATAATATATCTTGGAACTTCTTTGAATCCATAACCATATCAATGAAACAAAGTATTTTAATCGGAGTTCACCACAAAAAAGTATTTATATTTTCCATTATCAACCAAACGAAAAAGAAACAATCACTATGAAAAGCCCGAATTTCTCACTGAAATGCATAAATAAAAATTATTATACAATGAAATCGATCAGGTTACCTGCATGTACGTATTTTGAAAAAAATAAATAAAACGATGATGTCAATACACCCCCCCCCCTTTTTTTTTTCACGTGCGCAGTCAAACTTGTACGAGCAACGAATGATTAGTGAGAGGCCGAGAATTCCCCTTTTATCGTGATAATTTAAAATGTGCACGTAGTGACCAGTTTCAGTGACTTCACTCAGCGGCCGTTTGATCGACCGTAAGCTGACGCGTCACACTCTCCGCACCTTTATTAACACTTAATACAGATTACGCGGACTTCATCTCTCGTCCTCTTTTCCATCACCTCATACTTGGTTCTCTCATAGCGCACCGGGTGTGGTATAATATGAGCTACATAAACGCGGTAATATTTCCCATACATGCTCGTACTTTCGTTGCTTTTATATACTACTGACGCTGTACATCACGCGGTGGTGCTCATATCCTCGCGATCAAACGAGCGTATAAATATTACGTGCATCACGTGAGCTTTTGCATGTTATGTGTGTTTACGCCGTTCTGCCCCGTATAAGATTGCACGTGTATACGTTGGCTTTTCAAGAATATCAGAGGCGCGTGGGTGTAAAAGGAATACTTATACGGCGTTAAAAATAATTTATAAATGCGATTGAGAAGCCGAAATTTTTCTCTGGGATCTATATTGCTCGCGCTTGTTTTTATCCGTGGATGAAAATTTACAACTAATACGAAGTAAGTAGTGGCTGTCTTGCGTGGGATTACCTATTCCGGCGCAAGCCAATTTTCGAGCTTCGCCCAGATGCGTAAGTGCCCCCTCCTCTCATCCCTTTGAGAGCGGGCCTCCGAAATTCTCCGTTATTTTCCTTCTTCTTTTTCCTCTTATGCCCTTTTATGGTATTCTAGAGGAGTGGTCCTCACGGACCTGTCCCATGCGGGGAGGTTAGTTTTTAGTCGGTTGGCACACCGGGTGAATCCGACACTACCACTGGATTAGCTGGGGTGTCTATGAAGATTTTTACCCTCCCCGCTCCATCAAACTAACAAAAAAAAAAAGCGTGGGATTACAAAAATTGACGTAACTTTACGGCACTGGCGTATCATAACGCATGAAACATAAAACTGCAATTCAATCATTTATGTATCGTATAAAAATTGCGCACGTCGCATCTTACATTGTTATTGCGCAATCAAACAATTTGAGGAAAAATTCATGTTTCGAAAGTATACGACTAAAAATAATTTTCAACCAACTCGCGTTATCTTTCCAATGGGTCCATGAATACAATCTATTTATATCTGAAAATATATATACAAATGGGAAAAAATGGTACTAAAGTTAACCGTTAAGCTCCGACAATGCACTTTGCCACGCGTATATATATATGCTTATCAAAACGAGTCTTCGTACATACCATGCTAAGTATATATTTATATAGTCGATCGTTCCTAGCAAGCGCCTTGTCCAAGCAGCAGCATTTAATTACAATTTATCCCTTGTGGGCGCTTTAACTTGGGATTTTATTTATTTCCTCGGTGCCTTTTATAGGGTCGGCAAAGTCGCGACTACAGTGGCGATGGAATATTTACCGGAGAAACGCTTTCGTCGGAGCTTTCAGGCTAAAAAGGATTGGAAGTACTTTGGAGATTTTTCTCTTTCAAATGCGATGAATATAAGGGAACATGACGCTCGTGTGTTCTCTTGTCCGTACGTAGCTTTTTCCTTTTGATGGTTCTGCGAGTCCGCATCAGGATGATTCTACACTGGTACGTTGCATCGGGTGTAATTACTTGTGTCTGGAAATACATTTAAATTCGTTATTGGTTTGGTAAAAATGTTAATTTCTACTAAACTTTTTTTTCAAACAAATCCAAACTCCACTGTCCAAAACAATGGTTTCAACATACGGAGAGAAATATTTTGATCAACATACTTTGATCGACAAATCGATTGATCATAACAACAAAATTCAATGTAAGCTCACCCACAATAAAAACAATTACATGTGAAACGCTTCAAATAACGAAACCAGTAAATAGACGGTACAGGGAGAAATAAATATATTGTTCAGTGCTCGAAGCCATATAGACATTTATTTGTAAACTAGAACACTCTAATGTGCACACAACCTCAAACAAGCTATTAAAGGTATATGCGTACGCCCTCCGTTTTTAATTCAAACGTATGAGTAAGTACTTTGATTTATACGTAAACAAAAATGGCTTCGCGATTCGAAAAATGTAATACTCACTCTTATTTTACTGCACGCCTCTTCCTTCACGTATGTATTTAGATACCGCAGCATTTTGTTATTGATAAGCCAATGCAAAAATGGCGCCATCGCTGATATAGTACTATTTATGATGCAAGCCATTGCGAAAAATTAGTTAACGAATGAATTGCCGTATTGTAGAGTTTATACTTTTCTCGTTGTTCACTGTTCCGCAGTTCGACTACTAGTCCACATTTCAGATTCCAGATCCTACGGTTCCCGGTGTACGGACTACATCAGGCAGCCTCAGTAGCGCCGTACTCGATTGAAAAAACAGTTCGTTGCATGTCGAATGTCGATGCTGTAAGATTTCGTGTGCCGCGAGACGCGAGTGATTTTGTTCAAAAACTGTTATATAAGTATTGTCTTGGCTAAGTACTGTCATTTTTGGTGTTATTACGCCTGTAAGTCGTTGAAATTCGGAATTCAAGAACAGCTAAAGTACTTGTGTATATAGGTCAAGTCCTATACGTTCAAAGTAAGACAGGCTATGAAACAATGGTTTCCAACCGTTTTTTAATCATCGTCGCGTTCACAGTTTCGTCCGTCGCGCAAATGACACTTATTCAGCATCGTCTCGTCGGGTCTTGTAACGCGACGGATATAGGTTATACGTGTTGTTTTGTGTGTGTATGTACAGACATAGTGAGAGAGCTAACCTAAGAGCAGCTTACTTTCGTTCTAGACAATCATGCACGGATTTGCACTAGGTATCGAATATACTGACTCGAGTGAGCTTGTGAACATTTCAGCGAGCTCTGATTCTTGAGACATGGCTTCACCTGAGTGTCGACGTCATTCATCATGTCGTGCTAAAGCATACGCTTTGACGAAGGCGACCAGACGGATCTGAGCTTTCATAATCTCCGTCATCGCGGAAAGACCAGGCAACAAGAGTAGCCTCCGTCCAAGGTTCGCTTTCTTCTTTCCATCAGAAGTTTCGGAGTCCATTTATAGGTTATTTACATACATCTTGTTTATTCTGGTCTGATATTTTGTGTGTGGGCATGTATATATGGCTGTAGATTATGTTAAATTTGTTCCCTGCTTTGTCATCGGCATAGTATAAAAAATACTTGTGTTGAAGAGAGATTTTTAAATAACAATCGTTTGATGTTTATTTAAAGTCGATAACGCTTGACCAAGTTAATAATATACATAAACGGGTTCTCGTTGAACGGTTGTTATTCTTGTCGTTGAATTTTACTTACAGGCAATAAAAAGAGAATATACTCAAGCGCAGTCTTTTACTTGATAAAAAAAAATCTCGGTTACAACAAAGTAACACGCCAGAGCGGCTTGGGGAGAGAAGGGAGGCTTGAAACCCGTGATCTACATAGTACCTGTATATACTCATCAAGCTTTCAACGTCGCGCTCCAAAACTCGACGATCTACTTTGTCGATTGTATAAACGTGAGCGATCTCACAGGCATTTTGTTGACAGAGTTTGAGTGAAGTTTAAATGAGCTGTTATCGGGTGGGGGGAGAGGTTTAAGAATAAAAGCAATACACAACGTTGACACGCTATAAACAAAAAAACTTAAATCAAACACATGTGTATGTTATGTATAGGTATACATCATAAAAGTTCAAAGTACAGCGTCAGCCTTTTGGTTTTTGATTCAACCAGCACTCATCTGTATCAACTTCATTTGCACCATATTGCATAATATATATAAGCAGGTGTATTGCAATGAAACATTTAATCAGGTACGTATATCATAATAATAGTTCGACAAATACGAGAAACTCGTATCT